CTGGGGAAATAAACCCCAACCAGATTTATGCCACACAACTGGAACGGCCTTCAGACGCTGACCCGCCAGCCTGGTTCATGTTTAACGAGGAAATAACCCGTTTCTTTGTTAAATTCACTAATTTTTCCTGCCAGTTGATGGAAAATTATTTATTTTTAAACAAGTTGGCGCGTGGGGACCCCCCAGGGGGGTGCAAGCAGCTCTGCCTGCCCGGGGGCATCAGACAGAGCGTGGGGTCTGCCCCCAAATCCCTGGAATTTTGACTGTTCCTACTCCAGGCTCCCAAAAGAGGGGCTCCCCCTGATCACCTCTGTGTTTCTCTAATTGAAAATTCATTTCTCTAATTGAAAATTCATTTCTTTAATTGAAAAACTCGTTTCTCTAAATGAAAACTCGGTGCCCTCCACTGGCAATGTGAACTGAAAAGCGTCGCTTTGGGTTTGTGGGTGCAGTTACCTGACATGACATAGAGCAAAACAGAGGAGAATTTTCCTTTTCTGTGTGAAAATGTGGGGTTTTGGCTGTTACAGAGGAGGGGACAGCGGTGTCTGTCGTGACCTGTGTCAGATTTAGGGCAGAGGGAGAGAATCCCACCCCTGTTATCCCAGTCACTGCTCCAGACAGCGATTTGCTCTCCCCCGGTGTCCATCAGCGCAGCATGCAGGGAGCACAGAAGATCCCGTTGCCCAACGATCCGAGACAAACACACTTTTCATCCCATTTTATTACTTTTCATCCCATTTTATTACTTTCCATCCCATTTTCTATCCCAGCTCAAGCCAAGTGCAGTAAAATCAGCCACAGTGTGTTCACCTCCCCGTCCTCGCGCCACACGGTCACAAACCGATTTGGGGGATCGTCACAACATGACGCGCGTTCACACCCGTCTCTGAAAGCCCGACCTGCTCCTTCCATCCCTGCAGCCAGGTGCCAGCGTCACCCAAATTCTGCAGCCTCTCAGAAGCCAGAATACATCTATTTTATTTCCCCACACTGTTTTTTTTATAAGCTGGGTATTTCATTAAACCCACAACACAAATTCCCCCCCCCGAGAGGCCGACTCTTAACAGAAAAGCCGAGCGCTCGGCGAGGGCTCCTCATCCCCCCAGAAGAACCTCCAGAGCGCGACGTGAGCCTGGAGCAGCCGGGATGTCACCTCTGAAGACCCGGCTCTGCGCCCTGGTTGAAGCACTTTGCTCACTCAAGCTCCCTCCCCTTCCCCCAAATCAACCACCCAAGCAGCGAGGCGAGAAAACCCCTCTCCGAAAAGCAGCTCCTCCTCGACCACAGACGTTTAACTGTTGTACAAAGGAACCACCCTGGCGATGGGCTGTCGGCAGATGGGGCATTTTTTGGGTTCGGGGAGAGCCTGGTAACACTGGTTGCAAGAACAAACGTGGCCACACTCCAGGAAGACGCAGGATTTGGTGTTGCTCAAGCAGATGACGCAGGCGTTTTTGAGCATCTCTCCGCCCTCCGCGTTCATGTCGCGCATCAGGCGCTCCTGGGCCTGTCGGAATTCATCCTGCATTTGTTTGAGGTGTCGCCTCTCTCGGTGATACCGATATTGTTTCCGTAAGATGAAGAAGAGGATGGCACATGTAGCAAAACCAAAAAGAACGGTCAGGATTTTCCAAAACCGGACGTTTGATTCTTGTTTCTGCAGCAGGGAGTGGAAATCGGCGCTGCTCAGGTAGTAGGGCATGCCTTGCTTCGGGGGCTGCAGCTTGATGGTGGTGTTATCCAGGACCAGCTCTCCCACCCCGGTCAGCGCCGTACCCACCTTCAGCATCTGCTCCGTCTCCTGGATGCCCTTCGGGCGCTCGCCGCTGATGTAGTGGCCGATGACGTCGGTGAAGGATTGGACAGAGGGATGAAATTTCTCGTACACCGTCTCCAGGCTGAGCTCAGAGGCCTCCAGTGGTTTCATCACCCTGACGGTGATGCTGGCGCCTTCCTCCTGAGGGAGCAGCTCGAAGGGGGTGGTGTTGGTTCTTTGGTGGATGATCTTCTCGTAGTCGTTCCTGGGGAAGGAGCAAAGGGATAAAGCAAACACCGTGTGGGCTGAGCTGAGCTGTCATTTTTGGATACTGCCAGTTGTCACCTGCCCTGAGTGAAGTTTATTTGGGTGGGACCGAGTGCAGAGCGGCGCTTCTCCCCTCACAGCACCGTCCGGGTGTGCGCGAGACCCTCTGCTGTCACCTCAGCGCTTCCACGGTCCCCACAGAAGCAGCGTGGGCTTCCATCGTCACCAGGAGAGCGTGCTGTCCCCCCTCATGCCCCCTCATCTCCCCGTGGTGTTCCCACCTCCCAGAAACCACCCTGTGAGGAGAATCACTGCCACAAATGTGACAAATGTGAAGGGGGCCTACAAGAAAGCTGGGGAGGGACTTTTCATAAGGGCAGTTAATGACAGAACAAGGGGAAATGGGTTTAAACTGAAAGAGGGGAGGTTTAGATGAGATATCAGGAAGAAGTTCTTCACTGTGAGGGTGGTCAGACACTGGAACAGGTTGCCCAGAGAAGCTGTGGCTGCTCCTCCCTGGAAGTGTTCAAGGCCAGGTTGGATGAGGCTTTGAGCAACCTGGTCTAGTGGAAGGTGTCCCTGCTGCTGGCAGGGGGGTTGGAACTGGATGAGCTTTAAGGTCCCTCCCAACCCAAACCAGTCTGGGATTCTGTGAATTGTTATCTAATCAGCTGAGGCTCAGGGAGCGTTGCTGTGCTCTCGTTTCAGCAGCTCTCAGGACCATCCTCAAGTCCCCTGGGTGCTGGTATCACCCAAATCCAACTGAATTTCTGTTTTGAGGGGGTTGTTTTGCTCGGGAAATACCGTTCTGTGGTCATCTCAGTGACAACGTGAGGCTGCAGACAAACGTGCTCTGCCCACGCTGGGTTGCTCTGTGTCCTCCTCTTCTTCAGCCGCTTAATGAACTCTGACAGGCTACAGCCCTGAAAACAGCCAAATGTGCCCCATTTTGGCAGCTGGGGGGTCCAGGTCTGGGGCACTTTGATCACTCTGGCCCTGCCTGAGTCATTTCAGTGTGTCAGGCTCTCCAGGGGCACCTCAGCTGGTCTGAAAGCCAGATGTTCCCGGGCACCAGGCACGTACCAGAGATGTGTTGTTCGGTTCCACACCATCTTATGCTCCTGCAGCGTCAGCCTCTGCACGACGCCCTTGCAGTTCTCCACGAACTGGCTGCTCAGGGTCTCCTTAACAGCCCGCACCACGCCTGGAAAACAAACCCAGAGTGTGTGTGAGGGCCACAGAGATGATGAGGGGCTGGAGCATCTCCTGTGTGAGGAGAGGCTG